AGGGGGGTTACTTTATTCCTAGAGCTCTTGAAAAACTGTAACAGGATGACTTACAAGGGACTGATCCAGTAGAGGATGGTAACATCCGTTAAACAAGGAAATTTGGGGGCCGGGAAGGGGGTTGACAGAGCGAGCCCTGAAGTCTTCCTCCATTCTGAGACTGCTGGTCTTGATGCCACTTTCAAAGTATGGGCAGCTCTAGTCTGGGTTCAGAGTGAAGATAATGAAGTCACAGATAATATAAACTTTGTGGAAAGCAGCATGGCAGGCTTTTTTAAGCTTGTTTATGGGGCACAGGTAGAACGTGAGGGTCTCTTTTCTGTATTTTCTTAATTTTCTATGGTAAGCACAAGTTACTTTGTGATAAAATATATTAAGATAAAATAATATCAAAATAATATACTTTAAAATAACATTACATTTGTAAAGAATATGTGACATTGTGATGATAAGCTTGAAATTTCAAGCCAACGAGAACTATAGGAGATGTTTAATATGAAAACTCCTTTTTGAAACCAGATTATTTAAAGATCACAGGGTTGGCTATTCCTCAATACAGCAAAATTCTTTGTCGATAGGCTCATCAGCAGTGTAAAAGGCACCTACAAGTGCTTCACACGGCTCACCTTGGAGCAGTGGGAAGATTCAGTGGGCTTGCAAATTTGTCTGATGGTAATATTATTCAATATCTCTTCCCCCATGACCAATAATTCATCAAGGTAGGTTAGCATAATTTTTCTGCTATCCCAGAGTAGGCATGATAATATACTCAAATGCCAGACATAATACATATGAAAATATCTTATGTCTTAAAAAGTACTTTACAGATATATATTCAGTAGAGTTTTATAACTTCCTCATAATTTTAAGATTTTAGCTTTAATTCCAGAATGAAGGCTACTGATCTCATAGGTATTCTGATATTTTATATTTCTGGCTTTAGTGGAGCTAAAACTGTTCTTAGGTTCCCCTCTCACCCCAAGAATGAGACAACAGTTTGTACACGCCACTTACATATCCTTACCTGGTGTTCTGATAAGTACCCTGAGAAACAGTTGGCAGGAGCGATACAACCCAGTGCTGGGGCAGAGTTCCTCTTATCAATGAAATAAAAATCACTCTATTATTATACTTATTTAGTAGATATTTTGTCTTTAAGGCTACCTGACCCTTTTCTATTATCTGTACCATAGTGACCACTACTTGTCTGTCAGTTTGTCGTACTGTGGTGGCTTGTGTGTTGCTGTGATACTGGAAGCTATGCTATGGGTATTTCAAATGTCAGCAGGGTCACCAATGGTGGACAGGTTTCATTGGAGCTTCTAGGTTAAGATGGGCTGGGAGGAAGGACATGGTGTTCTACTTCTGAAAATAATTGGCCAGTGGAACATTGTCTGATATAGTGCTGGAAGATGAGCCCCTCAGTTGGAAGCACTCAAAAGACAACTGAGGAAGAGCCCCCTCCTCAGAGTAGAGTCGACCTTAATGATGTGGATGGAGACAAGCTTTCAGGACCTTCATTTACTGATGTAGCATGACTCTAAATGAGAAGAAAGGGTGGCAAACATCAATTAATAATTGGAATGTAGAATGTATGAAGTATGAATCTAGGAAAATTGGAAGTCATCAAAATGAAATGGAACACATAAAGATCCATATCCTAGGTATTACTGAGCTGAAATGGACAGATTTTGGCCGTTTTTAATTGGACAATAATATGGTCTACTCTGCTGGGAATGACAAATTGAAGAGGAATGGAGTCACATTTATCATCAAAAAGAACGTTTCAGGATCTGTCCTGAAGTACTACACTGTCAGTGATAGGGTAATATCCATACACCTACAAGGAAGACCAGTTAGTACGACTGTTATTCAAATTTACGCACCAACCACTAAGGCCAAAGATGAAGAAACTGAAGATTTTTACCAGCTTCTGCAGTCTGAAATTGATCAAACATACAGTCAGGATGCATTGATAACTACTGGTGATTGGAATGCAGAACTTAGAAATGTAGAAGAAGGATTGGTAGTTGGAAAATACGGCCTTGGTGACAGAAACAGCGCCGAAGATTGCATTATAGAATTTTGCAAGACCAACAACTTCTTCATTGCAAATACCTTTTTTCAACAACATAAATAAATGACAACTATACATGTAGACCTCGCCACATGGAATACACAAGAATCAAATCGACTACCTCTTGGAAAGAGACAATGAAGAACCTCAATACTGTCAGTCAGAACAAAGCTGGGGCGGACTGCAGAACAGACCATCAATTGCTCATATGCAAGTTCTAGCTGAAGCTGAAGAAAATTAGAGCAAGTCTATGAGAGCCAAAATGTAACCTTTAGTTGTATCCCACCTGAATTTAGAGACCATCTCAAGAATAGATTTGATGCATTGAATGCTAGTGATTGAAGCCCGACGAGTTGTGCAATTACATCAAGGACATCATACATAAAGAAAGCAAAAGAACATTAAAAAGACAGGAAAGAAAGAAAAGACCAAAATGGATGTCAGAGGAGACTCTGAAACTTGCTCTTGAACCTAGAGTAGCTAAACTGAATGGAAGAAATGATGAAGGAAAAGAACTGAATAGAAGATTTCAAAGGGCAACTCAAGACAAAGTAAAATGTTGTAATGAAGTGTGCAAAGACCCCTAGTTAGTACACCAAAAGGGAAGATCATGCTTGGCATTTCTCAAGCTGAAAGAACTGAAGAAAAAATTCGAGCCTCTCATTGCAGCATTGAAGGATTCTACAGGGAAAATAACTGTTGTCTCATTCTTGGAGAGAGAGGGGAACCTAAGTACAGTTTTAGCTCCACTAAAGCCAGAAATATAAAATACGAACAACACAGGAAGCATTAAAAGAAGATGGAAGGAATACACAGAGTCACTGTACCAAAAAGAATTGGTCAAAGTTCAGCCGTTTCAGGAGGTAGCATGTGATTAAAAGCCGATGGTAGTGAAGGAAGGAGTCCAAGCTGCCCTGAAGGAATTGGCGAAAAACAAGACTCCAGACAGAATAGAAATTGAGATGTTTCCACAAACAGATACAGAGCTGGACGTGCTCACTTGTCTATGCCAAGACATTTGGAACACAACTACCTGGCAAACTGGCTGAAAGAGATCCATATTTGTGCCCATTCCAAAGAAAGGTGATCCAACAGAAAGTGTAACTTATCCAGCAGTAACATTAATATCACACTCAAGTAAAATTTTCCTTAAGATTATTCAAAAGCAATTGCAGCAGTACATCGACAGGGAACTGGCAGAAATTCAGGCAGGATTCAGGAGAGGATGTGGAACCAGGGATATCATTGCTGATGTCAGATGGATCCTGGCTGAAAGCAGAGAATACCAGAACAATGTTAACCTGTGTTTTATTGACTATGCAAAGGCATTCAACCATGTGAATCATAACAATTTATGGATAACATTGAGAGGAATGGGAATTCCAGAACACTGAATTGTGCTCTGTACATAGACCAAGAGGTAGCCATTTGAATAGAACAAGGGGATATTGTGTGGTTTAGAATCAAGAAAGGTGTGCATCAGGGTTGTATCCTTTCACCATACCTATTCAATATGCTGAGCAAATAATCAGAGAAACTGAACTATATGAAGAAGAAAGTGGCATCAGGATTGGAGTAAGACTCATTAACGACCTGTGATACGCAAATACTACAACCTTGCTTGCTGAAAGAGGACTTGAAGCACTTACTGATGAAGATCAAAGACTACAGCCTTCAGGATGGATTACACCTCAACATAAAGGAAACAAAAATCCTCACAACTAGACCAATAAGCAACATAATGATAAATGGAGAAAAGATTGAAGTCGTCAGGGTTTTCATTTTACCTGGATCTACAAACAACGTCCAGGGAAGCAGCAGTCAAGAAATCAAATGATGTATTGCACTGGGCAAATCTGCTGTAAAAGAACTCTTCATAGTATTAAAAAGCAAAGATATCAGTTTGAGGACTAAAGTGTGCCTGACCCCAGCCATGATATTTTCAGTCACCTCATATGTACACAAAAGCTGGACAACGAATAAGGAAAACCAAAGAAGAATTGATACCTTTGAATTATGGTGTTGGTGACAAATATTGAATATACCATGGGCTGCCAGAAGGAGAAACAAATCTGTCTTGTAAGAAGTACAGCCAGAGTGCTCTTTGAAAGCAAGGATGGCGAGACTTTGTCTCATGTTCTTTAGACGTGTTATCAGGAGGGATCAGTCCCTGGAGAAGAACGTCATGCTTGGCAACCTAGAGGGTCAGTGAAAAAGAGGAAGGCCCTTGACGAGATGGATTGACACAGTACCTACAATAATGGGCTCAAACATAGAAATGATTGTGAGCATGGTATAGGACCGGGCAGTGTTTCGTTTTATTGTATATAGGGTTGCTATGAGTCAGAACCAACTTGACAGCACCTAACAACAACAACAAACGTAGCGAAATGGGGGCAGACATGAGTTGGAATCCCCATCACTTAATTTGGCACTAGCATCAGGATATTTTAGAAGGTTTTCTGGTTATACTCAGACAAGAACATTTAAAATATGGAAAGATGGATGTGCTTTAACCCATCTTTTTCCTGTTTGGAATTTTCCTCTTGGTTTCAGGAGAAAATCTCCAACAAAGTTTCCGAACAAATCATATTGAAGATTTGAAAAATAATTATTTTAAAACCCTTTATATCACAGTTCCCCAAGACACTTTTAAGAAAATTTAATGGGAAAATATCTCCAAATTTTTGTGTTTCCCATAATAGAAGAGATAAGCTAATGCTTTAAAAGTACATCTTCAAAACTGAACTTTAAATCGCTGTGACATAATATGCTTCTCTACTCTAATAATCTATATTAGAATAATCTTATGTTGTTGTTGTTATCGTTGTTAGGTGCCGTCGAGTCGGTTCCAACTCATAGCGACCCTGTGTACAACAGAACAAAACACTGCTCAGTATTGTGCCATCTTCACAATCATTGTAATGCTTGAGCCCATTGTTGCAGCCACTGTGTCAGTCCATCTTGTTGAGAGTCTTCCTCTTTTTTGCCGTCCCTCTACTTAGATGATCTTAATGAAACTTTTTAAGGAGCCCAGTGGTGGGAAACTTACAGAAAATATAGACTGACTGTCCAGTTCATGTGGGTAAGTACATCTACAAATACTCTCTTTCCTATTTTCAGTAATTCCAATTGGAATAAAATAGAGGGCTTTATTTTTTTTTTTCTGTTATCGGAAGAAAGTGATACCTATGAGATCCAGGTTGTTAGAACTGTATCTGTTCTTGTACAAAACATAGTCCAAAAAAATGAAGCACAAGATCTTTTCCTGTATCTATTTTTATACGCATGTACTTACTAACCTCTGTGTAACATACTTGTGGAACTTTTGAAAAATAAATACAATAGACTGTAGAAGTGGAACCATGTCAGTCTTAAATTCAAAGACATAAGACCACAATTTTAGAATATTTTTTGATTCTTAAGTGCAAAACTTTCCACAGTTACTACAGCATTTTGGAAAGACAGTGGAGAGCTGGAGTGACATTTTGACCCTTTTACTTTCACAGGAAATATATTTTAAAGACATCTGAAATTGGGATAGCCTGCAAATACTGAACTATACTAAACCTGGAGATAAAAGGTGTGTGTCTGAGTGCATCCTTATGAGGATTAGGGAAGGCCTGAGAGGATGGAGTATAGAATGTACCTATCTCCATTTCCTTTTGTCTTTTATTTTCCACTTTTTCTCATATTCCCAGCTGTGGAGGACTAGGGATTGGATGGGAGGTCACGGTGGGGCTACACAGGGAGACAGGATTGAAATGTGAAAAACTTATGTAGCCTTACAACTTAGTCCTGGGGTTTTAATTTTAGCCTAGTGATTTACCCTAGGTTACTAGCTGCCACCATAGTTCCATAAAATAAATTTTGAATTCTACCCATCTCCCCATTTTTCTTTCTGAAGCAAGCTCCTGCTTTTTCCTTCCTCTGTGCTCTGATGACATTCAAATTCTTCAGCCTGTTACTTCATACCGTCCCTAACCTGCTCCCAATATTTCTCTTTCTCTAACTGGAAGATAGAGTATAGAAGGTCTTAGTTGTGAGTTAGAAAGAAGCCCTTCTGAGCCCTTTTATAATAACCTGGCATTCCCCAAATAGGTGTAAGCTGTCTTTATGCCCATAATACTTTTATTTTCCTGTACTACAACAGCCAGATTATTTGTTAGTATCCACCTTTAGACTGTAAGTTGTATGATGTCAGGTTGAATCTCTAGTAGCTAGTACAGTGCCTGGAACATAGTTGATCCTCAATAAATAAATAGTAAATGACTAAAATCCATGTATGAATGAATGCATGCATGTTCCATTCTCTATTTCCCTGCTTAGAGACATGCTACTATCGTCATACCCTTGGAAGCAGCCCGGCCATACATAAAATTCATTTAAAAAAAAAAATCAAGGTGAGGGGTTATCATTTGGAAAGAGCACATGACTGAGCATAGTGAACTTTCAAATATTTGAGAGCAAAGATTATGATTCCTTGAATGCTGACAACTTTCCTTACACATAAAATTATTTCTACATGTCAGTTTAATTCCATGCGATGCCATTGTTCCATGAAAGTTTTTGTTTACTTGTTTGTTTTCTGTTAGTTTTAAAGAAACACTACCTTATTTCTTCTACTGAGAAATATAGATGATCAACTTCCTATATGGGCATTGGAAGGATTTAATCATGTAGATAACATGGATGGTATCATGTTTCTATTTAGATTTCTTTTTTCTTTATTTTGCTACTCCATTTTTGTCAACAAACAATCTACATCATCTGAACTATATTAAATAATCTTAATCTCCTAGAACTATAGTGTCCAATTCATAAATTGGAACTTCTCAGAATCTGAGGTTTGCAGTAGACTACAAGTCAGCTCAGGAAGCTTAACTCTCGCAGAGCACAATGATTTCTGACTCTGTAAGCTGGGGTGTTAGGGCAGTGTTCTGAGTCCCCACTGCCTGTAGTGCCAATACTCACAAGGTTGAGGGAGGCTTTTGTTTTTACAAGCTTGCTCTTTATGCAGGATGCACCTTATAAGACCAGGGTAACCTTGGGTTTATTATGTATGATAAATGCTATCTGGAAGTCTGAAAACAGGTTAAACAGATAATTGACCATGCTGTACATTTCCCTCTCGGAAATGAGAAAGAGAAGAGATTTAAGCATTGAGACTGTGAAATGGATGCATGGAAATAGTTACAGAAAAGTTTCTAGGAAGTGCCTTACACCTAGTGGGTGCTTAGTGAATGTTTTTATTTTTATAGTTTTAATTATAAGTATATGCATAAGTTTTCTTTTTTTGATAAACCAACTGCTGTTTGTTCTGTCTGAGGCAAATAGTGATTGAAAGTTGACAAACAGAGGACTTTTATCCTCCAATTTCTGATACAGAACTGAGACAGGACTGTTATAAAGAATATATTGACAGGAATAGTTGGAAGATAATAGGCACAATTAATGCATCTTGTATATTCTTGATGGATAGTTCTCTCCCAAGAAAGTCACCTATTGTTATTTTTATGGTAGATGCTTATAGAGCACCTGGGTGTTATTATATTGCATGATGTTGAATTTTTTTTTCTGCACTATAAGCTATTGTTATCATGAAAAAAATACTTAATTTTCCTGAGACTCAGATACTCATCTATAAAATGGGAATTTTAACACAACTCCTAGGGATTTCATGAATATTGAATGATAATTATATATGAGTGTGTGTATGAGTATATATGTGTATATGTGTATACACACACACATACAGAGAGAGTGAGTGAGTGTGTGCGAGTGCATGTTAGCATGAGAGCAGCTAGTAGTATTCCTGGCACATGGTTAGATTGTAAATGCTTATTTTTTCCCCATTCCCTTCCTCTTTTAGATTTGGAATGCATTCCCTAAGACCAAAGCAAATTGTTAGCCTGGCACATATTTAGCATTCAGTATATGTTGCTTGCCTGCCTGCCTTCCTCCTTACTTTCTACTTTACTTTGCTTCTCAAGTAAATATGAATATATATTTATTCAAAATAATAATATGTTAGTAATAAAGCAATTGCTATGCATTTTATGTGTTGGGAAAATATCTCAAGCATCACATTGTCACTTCAGGACTGAGTCTGCACTGTGACGTAAGTAATCCATTGTAACTCCTCTTAGCCTCACATAGTTATTTTTGTTGTAGTTCATTTTTACACTGCGGTCAATTAATTCCAATTTATTTGTAGAGATAAATATTTTGTTTATATAAAGAAATGAATATTTTGTTCTGTGTTTGTACCCTTTATCATATTCATTCGAAGACTTTTTTTCTTACACTCAAGTGTTAGGACTGGGTTGTTAGTATCACATAATTATAAATTCACGCATTTTATATGTAAATATGTTTTTTAAATACTGATAGAATAAGCAATTTAATATGAAAATTATATATTGAAATATTTATTGATTAACTGACTAGGCAACAGGAATGTAAAGTCCAGAAGCCTTAAAAATTGTGACCCTAACTTCCTATCATAGTATTTTGGAGACCTGATTCCTTGTTCTTTATTGAATAGATGATTCCACTTGAAAGGGATGTTTACTGAAGTATACTGATAATGAATTTCAATTTTATATAGTATTCCTTTGAAGAACTTTTTCTGTGTGTTTGGCCATATTGCTTTAATAATGGTGCCTTTGATGGTTGAAGAACTATTTCTGTTTTTACTAGCCTTGAATTTCGTACCACAAATAACAGTGAGGTTGTTTTATTACACTCTGGTTCTCTCAGTGCAAGGATTAGGAGGGTCAATTTATGTCCAAGCTTACTCCATTATTTGTTACAGAGCCTGGTAAACATTACAAATGGATATCACAATTGGATTTTGAATCAATAACTTCAGACACTGAACCACATGTTTTAATGAGAAGCTGGATTTTCCTTGCAATGGTCACATAATGCTATTAGTTTCTTGAAGATATATTAGAGTCAGAAAAGATAAATATAAACACACAAAGTACCGCAAGGTTTTCAAATGCCGTTATAGTTCACTCTTCTGAAAGGCTTGCTAAAGTCAACCACAGTTCTTTTTTCTATGCTTTGTTACTCTTGGCCACGGTAGAATAATTTAAAAATCATGTATGATATATACTCTGAATGCATTGCTTATTTGAAGATTCACTTTGCTTTTAACAGAAAGTCTTATTGATGTATCTGTGAGGTATCTAATCTCTTAGCTGGAACAGATGATATGACTTACTTGAAGATGAGCTAAGAGCCCTCTGAGGTGTATGTAAAATAAATTCACATTTTTGTGGGCTTGTCTATTTTCAGCAGGAATAAAAAGGAATTGTCTCGTATTTCATATAATATCTTCTCATCTTAGAATACGGAATGCTTACTAGTGAAACCATGAGCACCTACAAGTATATAATTAATGAAATGCTTAGGCAGGCTAGGTTTTGGAAATATTCTATATTTCAGTGGAATATCCTTTAAAATTTCTCTTTTAACAATTTCTCTTGGAATTGGATATCTGGACTATGATAACTAGTATTTACTCTGACTTTTACGTTTTATTCCTGCATGCAACTAGCGTTTTTATTTTTTTCTTACTTCAGAGGAATAAGATGAAGCAAGGTCATGGTCACCGTTAATACTAAATAATGCCCTCACTTTTCTAATGAACACATTAAGGCAGCCACTCTTGTACTGAAACTGGAGTTAATTTCCTTCCTTTTTCTAGAACTCCATGATACTGATTGTAACATTTTGATTCTAGGCATGAATGTTTCATTCCGGTACAATGCTGCAATGCTCCCAAGCAACAACCCAGTTAGCAATGCATTAGTCAGGGTAAAAGGATATTCTACAAATGGGGGCTGTAGAACCAAAGGCGAAAATATTACCATTTTAAAGAGAAGATCATTGTATTTTTTTCTGTTTATTCCTGTCCAAAAAGGACCCTTTTCATCTTAGGTATGGTAAGCATATTCTTGGAAATCATATCCTTTGCAAAAGATTGTACTTGTTTTCTATAATTTGTCTTGGGAAATGAAAAAAAAAATGAGATCGGATCAAAGAAAATGTAGCTACATTTAAATCACTATTCATTATTACTCCCTATCTCCTAGAAACTCAGCACTGGGGTGAAACCTAGAACATCTCCGAATGGTGACTTATATAATTTGAATTTTTCCCTGAGCTTTGTGATAACTATGGGGCATTTTATTGGATTTTACTTTTTGTCTGATCAGAATTAAAACTTTTAGCACAGAAATAAATATCAAAAGACTGATATATATGCTACAAATTGATTCATTTCTTTATAGGTAAAATGGTCAGCATGCTATGACTAACAGCATAATACTACTGCTAGGCTTTGCTGAAGATTGCACGTTTCACCCCATAATGTTTTCACTTTTCGTACTCAATTGGGAATCTAAGTCTTCAGAAAATTTGAATCTTATTTTGTGGTGTAAATTGGAAAACATATAATTCTTTGAAAGTCATTTTTTGGAAAAAAATTTTTTTTGTATGGTGTGTGGCTCAGTAGGATTCATAGGTGTATAAACTTTAGAGTTTTATTTGTTATAGGTAAAGTTTTCTATTATAACAGGCACATCCATATAGTATCACCAAATTGTAACTTATATGCATCAAATACTTTGTTTGACCAGTGCTTAGTTAATTTTATGTGAGGTTTAGGAGGTAATGGTGTATAAAGTGCTATTTGGTTATTGAAGCAGATTTGTTTTGTCTCTTAGTAGCAATTTAGATTAAAAATTAGGCAAATAGGATTGCGGTTTGTTTTGAACATCTTATTTATTCGACTGTAACAAAAATACTTCATTCAGTGCTCACTATTAGATGTCTGTTCAAAGTGCTTATGTCATACCAGTTTTCTAAGGCATATGTAGCTTGAAATGGGATTCTTAGATATATTTGAAATAGTTTTCTATGCAGATGGGTTTAATAGAAAAACATACAAGATACCTGAGCAAGTTCTTGCTGACCTATACAATACCTGCATCCTAATAGGTCGTATTTCAGCTCCGACGTTTTTGACAAATAGCCTTGCTCTTAAAAAGCTCTGTCCGTGGTGCTGAAACGTCTCATGATGTATGAGCATGTCTTGCTGATAAATTCTAATGTCAGCCTCTGTGTGATAGTGATTCATCAGATTGTAAAATTTGTGTTCATGAAACACATTGAATTAGCAAGTTCCATGTTTTAGGTGTGTGAAAATTAACACAGTTTGTCCTTTTGTTTTAAAGAGTTCATAACAATTACTTTCCACATTGTCAGAAACAGCTAGGGTTTAATTAGACACTGTCATTGCTATCAAAAAAGCATATATCCAATATTAACAAATAAACTGATATTACAAAAATGTACTGGAAATGTTTACAGGCCAGTGACATGTATGCAGGAAGCTACTATAAGAAAATTTAACTACTTGATTGTAAACAGGCACGTAGCAATTAACATGGAACTTTTTAGCTTTGTAGAACAAATAATCAATTTGCCTTTAAAATCATGTCTTATTAGATGATTTTTTATTGTTTCAGAATGTTTCCTTTTTAATAAAATACATTTATTTTACAAGACTGTAGGTTTTTTGTTTGTTAACATGGCAAAAACCCTAAAAGATCTTGGTCTTTTTTTCCAAGTGAAATCCTTATATTTCTTATATAAGATTTTTAAATAATTAATAACATCCTTGGCATTTCAATTCAATGATTCTCAGTTGTTTTAAGCTGTGGATTTTAAGTGCCTTGAATATAGTCATAGAGGCCTGCACATAAGTAATTTTTTTTTCATTTACTCTAAATTAGTTATAGAAGCATTTTAGAAAGCTCTTCCTTTAGTTAACAAAATTGTCTCTTAATTTCTATTGTACTCTGAATTATCTGATTTATGTCATTTTTTAATTCATGTGATCTAAATAAAAAGGTATAATTTCATAAATGAACTTGATAAACTTCTACTATTAATCCAATATGTATTTAAAATGATTTTCTAAAACCAGAATCTTGGAATGGGATATGTTTCCTTGCTACATTTGCAACATAACAAAGTAGTAAGTTGTTTGTTTATTATTATAGTGAAGCTTGTTAAATGTTTAGAATCACAGAGAGATTTGAAAATTATTTCTAGGTTGTAGGTCCTACAGATATTTGGCAATGTTCTCTGCAAATCAAGCAGCCCTGAAGCTGAGTGACTACTGATTATTAAAATAAGACTTTTCAGTTGATCCAATACTGGATTTGCATTATCTGAACCTAATACCTAAATCCACTCCAAAAGCTGCTTGCTAAGACAAGAAAAAATTTAAGTGAATACATAATTTCCTGAAGGATTTGTTTCTGTCAATAGTTAAAGGGTTAAGTACAATGTTATTAATTCCATTTGGTATTGATAAGATGCTTTCTAAAACACATTTTTTGTACATTACAAAAATGTAGTTACATAACCCAATAAAAGTGTTTCAGTCTTAGCATTGCAAATTTTATTATAAAAAACTTTTTATTTTAAATGATATCTGGTCAGATGACATTTCCCAGAAATTGTTCTTTATTTAGAAACAAAAACAAGACAAAAGCAATTGATTTTAGTCCAAAATGTATTTTCCTTTATAAAAGAGGTCCACATACTCACTGTGTCTACTCTACAGAATTTGTCCAGTTTATTACACCACGTGTCAATTCAAGTTTATCTGGTCACTGCAAAAACTCGTGGCTAATATGTGTGATACAACACAGGAGGAGGTATTGCTCAGTTCAACTACGCTTACATACTTAAAAAAAATACAGAAATGTTTTTTGTCCACTTTAACTGTATTCAGACATAAAAGTTACATGAAAGTTCTAGAAAATGGAGTTATTTTATTTGGTTGCCACAGTACCCTTGGAAGTCAGTTAATTAAAATGCTGAACTTGTACATATTTCCATTGATCTGGAGCAGCACTGGTGAAGCACAAACTTCTTTCTAGAAAGTAACATTTCTCTGCCTTTTACTTAGAACAACTGCAGTCTTTAACTTTCTTTTGAAGTAGATTTAGTTGGTTGTCTTTAGGAGATATTTGTTGGCACACCTATAACAGTTGCTTTGACTTCCAAAGCTGTACTTTTTTCTTTGCCTGCTTCCCAGAGGTTGATTAGAGGAGGATAAAGCTCACTAAATGCAAAGGTTGGTTCCTGTAAGTAATTCCTCACATAGCCATGTCCACCATCATCATTTATTTCTTGAAAGGCGGAGTTGACAAGACATATCACACCAATAATCCCCAGAAAGCCACCAAGGCAGGCAATAAATGTTGTGGTGTTACTCTTTTTATATTCTTTTTTATCAGGATCTATACCTTTTGTGGTGACATTCACACATTGTTTTCTGCTTTTCTGATAAATGGTGGGGATATCAATGCAAATTTTGTACTCAGTTGATGGGTTCAGATGAGTAAGATTATATACTTTGACATCAGATGGTATTCGAGCACTTTGGGCAGCATGGGAATTTTCAGTCTTGGTAAATGCTGTCCACTTAACACTGGATTTGAGAATTTTAGAACTTGCTTTCCAAGACACCAGGACAGAATTGGCTTGAACATCTTTTATTTTAATATTCAAAGATCCATTTGTCTCGTAGGGAAAAGAACCATCCACTTTGATCATAATAGACTTCAAGTCAGCACCAACCAGGTTAGTTGCTATACAAGTATATAAACCTCCTTCTTTGGGGGTTATCCCCCTTATATCTAGTGTGCCTTCAGAATGGACATAAAACTTCTCTGTCAGAGTGTTAGGCAAGAGTTTTTGGCCAGAAGGTGTTATCCAATAGATTTCAGGCTGTGGCTCTGCAGTAGCTCTGCAGTGTAAGGAAACATAGCCCCCAGCTTCTAAATCCATATTAGATGGAAAGCTCTCAGGAGCTATGAGAGGGAGACAAATTTCCATCATTTCCCGGAAATGTACTTGCCGAACATTCTGACCTTGGAATTCAGGTGGGTCCACACAAAACAGTGAATCTGGCTCCATAAATCGAATGTTGGTTTTGTTCATATTAATCCAGCGTATGACACAGTCACACCTGATGGGATTGCTGTGTATGCTGATTTCCTTGAGGTTCGGCAGAGATTCAATTGTACCATGGTACAGGGCACTAAGGGCATTGCTGTTGAGCATGAGTGATTCCAGCTTGGGTAGTCTGAAAAATGCGTTTGGGTGAATATAAGACAATCTAGGGTTGTTAGTAGCTTCTATTTTTCTTAAATCTGGCAAGTTATCCACGGCAAGACTGTCAATGGAAATCAGGTCAGGCATATTATTTATCCCCAACTCTTTTAAATGTAGCATATTGCTGAAATCACCTCTTCGTATTCTATTAATAGGATTTTTATTTAGATCCAGAAATTTGAGGTTTATAACTTTTTGAAGAGCAGCGTGGGGCACTTTAATAAGCCTGTTGTCATAAAAAGAGATGCTTTCTAAGTTTTCAAGCCCAACCAAGGCATTATCTGGTACTTCCGTGAGGTTTATGCCAGCTATAACCAGGCTTCGAAGATTGATAAGCGGCTTAAAGTTCATATCTTTGATTCTGATGATTGGATTTTCCCCAATCATCAGGATCTCCAGATTTGGAAGTGCATCAAACCACTTACTGTTGATCATCTGCAATCTATTTGAATTGAGATGAAGTCGAAGAAGATTATGTAGGCCAATAAAAGCTCCGGGTGAAATTGTAGAAAGCAAGTTGTGATTTATATAGAGTTCTTGTAAATTGCTCAGTCCAGACAGACATTTTTCAGGCAGCTCAGTAAGTTTGTTTTCCTCTAGGTACACCGAAAGGAGCTGAGGCATCTTTTTTACATTAATATGGGTGACTGAGGATAAATTGTTTTGAGATAAGTCCAGGCCGGTAAGGTTTACTGGAAAGTCTACAGCGTATTCAATTTTTGCAATATTGTTAGTCTGTAGGAGCAGAATCTGTGTGTCAGCAGGCAATCTGGCTGGGAAATTTAAAAGACCTAAGTCGTTACAATCCACCGTAGGTGCCTCCATATAAATTGATCTGGGTGTAAACCAAGGTCTAATTTCACATGTACATAATTGTGGGCAATCCACTTTTTTATCTACAGCTTGTACTAATGTAGTGATAGCTAGGCCAAGTAGCACATGAATTCGGAGTGGCATGTCCTTCATCTTAGCTTTCTTCTTCAAAAATTTAACGGGTCCTTAAGGATTCCACAGTCACTCCTAGTAAGTTCAGGAAGAGCCGATTGATTAGGAAAATACTTGCATTTGTCAAATGACGAATGCCATAGAACCACAGAGTTTTTCTTCATAGAAGTAAGTGTCAGTGCCACAATTGGATTGTCCGAAAATTTCATGCATATTGGAGAAAAGAAGGTCACTATCTCCTTGACGATATAATGTGGATATATTTTTAGAAGATGAAGTATGTATAGATGGTCACAGGAGGTTGAGTTATTCATTTATTTAGGAGGATAATATTCAAATCCCATGCTTGTTCAGTACTTGCAGGAATGGCAGCATGATGCTAAATGTCATAAAAAAGAAAAAAAGAAAAAGAATTAGCACAAAGGAAAAAATGCTGAAATTAATAACCATTGGCTAATATAATTACTTCATTTGTAAATAATATTCTTGGAGTTTATAGTTATTTTAATATGTTTTAATAACTTTATCATTGTTATGATTATCTCTTATAATCAGCTGGTCCAAATATTAGGCTGAGAAACTGAATCCTTAGAAGGCTGAAGTTTTATTAACACAATGAATATGCTTCCAAAATTTTTCCCTTATTTCAAATTTTATTTCTTTACACATTGCAGTCTTGGGTGTTATATTTTTCCTTCTCTTAGACAATTAGTTATGGGGGAAGAAGGAAACCACCCTTTTAATGCCGATGGTTTCTTCCCCCCTCTTAGAGAGATAAAAAAAAGGCTATAAATAAATAAATATAAATAAATCAGTTCTGATCAAATGAGTTAGGTTGTGATTCCTCAGGCCCCTAAACCTGTTGCCGTTGAGTCAATTTCCAACTCATAGCAACCCTATAGGACAGAGTAGAACTGCCTCATAGGGTTTCCAAGGCTGTAATCTTTATGGAAGCTCAGGCCCCTAGGAGACAGCACTTGGAGACACCATTATAAAATGCTTGCTGAATAAACTAGAAGTAGTGATGTTTGCCTGGATTTCCTATTTTTATTCATACATCTCTCCATAGTCTCCTTTGTATACAGTGATTTGAGTTTTGACGTATTTAGAAGAGATTAAGTCTAACTTGCTGTGGATATACCTGTGTATTGTCATTCTTAACAAAAAGTCACATTAGCGTTTAACTGTTTTATTTTTCCCTGAAAATAAACTTGCATTCCATTAGTCACTAACAATGAAAAAGAAACTTAACTACATCAGTAAAACAGACACTTAGGTATCCCTTCTTTTAAAGGGATACTGATGTCTTTATCACCGAAAAAAAAGCAATTCCAAAACCAAGTTGCAATTTTGGTATGTGCTGTGTTTCAAAAGACCACACTACTGTCAGATCTACACTCCATTAAGTCAGACTGCTGGTGAGTTCTCAAAACCTTCATGCGTGCAGCTCAGCTGAAGCGCAGTTGCACTGTTCGCTCCGAGGCTTTTTGCCTACCTGCAATAATGGTCTACTGAATAATCAGTCTGTGAACATTCTACTTTCTTTCCTCTCTGTCCAATATTGACATTCATAATGGCATCGTTGACTGGCTCTAAGATAAGGTGGGTGCTTCATTGACAGATAAATATATTTGGAGATATGGTCCCTACAGAGATACAGACTAGTTCCCTTTTAAATAAAAATAAAAAAGTTGTTTTTCAAAATTGTGAAATACTTACAGTAATTTGCCTCTTATCCTTACTTTATTCTCTACTTCACCAAACAGTAATCTCCTGGAGAGTATGGGGCTTGTCTGACTGTGAATCCCCAGCCCCCAGGCATGGTGATTAGAACATAGTAGGAGCCCTGTTGGTGCAGTGGTTAAAAAGATGGACTGCTAACTGAAAGATAGGCTGTTCAAAACCACCAGCGGTTTCACAGGAGAAAGATGTGGCAGTCTGCTTCTGTAGAGATTTACAGCCTTGGAAACCCTGTGGGGTCACTATGAATCAGAATCTACTTGATGGCAGTGGGTTTTTGGTTTAGGGGCTCAATAAAGGTTTTGAATTAAATGATAAATGAATTTTATGACTTTTAATAAATTTATATATGCATCTTTTTATGTATAATTTAATCAATTCAGTCTGCCTCTTTTTGTAATTTCAGTAAGTTTGGCTGCTTTAACTTGCATAAATTTTTTACTTACACAGAATTGTGTTACATACATTACTAAAATCTGAAGATTAA